ACCAAGTCGAGCGCACTGTACACCGTACAGCCTACCATGTTGTTCTGCAGAACATCCTTGCGAGGAATCGGCGTTTGCGCTGGGATAGTGGCCGCATTTAGCTTCTTAAAAGCATGAACAATTCGCCACTTGCCGTTCGGCTTTCTGACACAGAACGTGGGTATCGAGTGCGGAGACTTACTCTCACGCACCATTCCTGCCTCGCGCTTCGCACGGAAGAATGCGTTAATGACGTCACACTGCTCTCTCGGCAAAGGCCATTGCCTTGTTACGCAGTATTTGGTTCCAGGAACCAGGTCAATCTCACGACACACGCCTCGATCCGGAGGCAGGCCCGTCGGTGGGTCTTTCGAGACAACGTCTCCATACTCCTTCACCACCGGGTAGAATGGATCCGAAGGATCTTTTAGGATCGCCGATCCACTTCTTGCGCTCAGCGCCTTCGTGGTGTCCTCTAGGACCGCATCGTCCACGACGGATGAGGAGTTCAACTCCTCCTCGGGTACCAGTAGGACCACCTCGGCTAGCTCGCCGGCCTATAAGGCTTCGCCAAGCTCGGCAATGGAGATCTCGTCCAGCTCTAGTAGAGCATCTGCAGCGGGCAAAGTGTCAAGGCTGATGTCACCTTCTACCTCCCCCGTCACTCCGTTCACGAGTGTATACAGATGCTCACAGCAATTACGTGGCGCCTCACCGCTCGTCACGTTGGACACATCGTCCGACGTCGAAGACGTCACAGACGCCCTGCGTCTTCTTCTCCTCTCCCTCGGCGACCGAGCTCGGCCGGATGAGGGCAGTGTGGCGGCATCTCCGTCACCACCTCCGGGTGCAGCAGCACCATCACACCTCGAAGAGGATACAGTGTCTCGCAAGACACTCGGCTGAAAGCCAAGAGGTCCTTGACCTTCACACAGTGAACTAGTTGTCACTTCACCTGCATCCCCTAAGCCACGCCCATGATGCCTCGACTCGCAGTCGACCGCGACCCTCGGGTTACGCAGCGGTAGGTCATCGACTAGATTCGTACCACTCAGTGGATTACGCGCCACTCCGCGCTCGTCCTCACCAGGACCCAGCAGTTGGTCATTGACCTGACCTGCACTGCTCAGCGGATAACGTGCCGCACCACGTACGCCCTCAGGGCAACAGCAACCTCGTTGCTAACGAGTTCGGAGATACCAATGTCCAGCACTACGGCCGCCTCGGCCTCGTGCTCGCGCCAAAAGCGCTTCTGCTTCTTAGCAGAGGTGGGTTCATAACTCACCAAAGCTCCACTAGGAGCAGGGTGCGACGCACCCAGCGTTTTCGACTTCCAGTCGATCCATGGCTCATGGCGTTCCAGCCATGCCATGCCAAGGATGAGGTCATACCTCGCATCCAGGTCTAAGACTAAACAGCG